AGTTAGTAGAAAAATTAGTAAAGGATAAGAAATTTACTCATAAGCCTGTGCCTACTATAGAAGGGCCTCCTTTTGTGGCCTAGTGGATAAATAGAAAACTCTGGTATCCACCTAGGGGGGCTAATAGTATGAAAAGATTACCTGATCTTCCTTTGCCTTATACAGAAGCTTATAATAAAGATAGTATACATATAGTGAATAAAGATAGAATTCATGTGCCTTATAGTAGTTTAAGTTTCATAGAAAGGCTGGCTAGGTCAGGATCTCCTTGGTGCTTAAAAACAAAGGAACAGAAACTTAGCTTATAAAAGCAGCTTTGTAAAACTGATTTTTATAAATATTTTCCTCATTACTGCACCAAGGAAACTTTTGAACAGCTATGAGAAAAGTTCAGCTTGAACTTTAGATATAGCATAAATCAAATAGCATTTAAAAGATTTCTTCAGGCAGAAGAACAATGTCTGCCCACAAGCCAATGCTTGCTGTTACGAATACATCTATCTATCACCTTTACTTAAATCAAACCGTATCTTACGTAATAGATATAAGAATTAAAAGTTTAGATTGTTCCATCAGGTAGTTCTGTTCTAATGATTGAGAGAAAAACGTACTAGTTAATCATGAACATTAATAATAATATACTCTATAAGATTTTCTGCTTCGCCTAACCACAGAAATTTAACTCCCTGCTACCTTAACCACAAAGTATAATCAAATGCCAAAATAAAAAGTATAAAAGTTGTACTCAAATCACAATAAAACGGAACAGTGTCACACCGCCTCTGAGTTGCGTAGTCGACTGTCTCCCGCGCCGACGCCTTGCCCACCTTTGGGGCCCCCTGGATCCTGTCGTGGCTGGACCGCGGCAAAAGAGAATATATGAGATTCTGAAATGCTCCCTTTTTTTACTTGACATAGTGGAATATTTAAGAATTTGAATGGAGTGTAGTGAGATAGCATCACTAATGGAGAGTAATAGTTTCTTTTTCTTAAAAACTTAAGGGCACAGTCTTTTATTCTCATTAAGCCAATGCCAGCTGCATTACTTTAGTCATTATAGGAAGAGCAGCTCTCTTCAGAGCGCCCTTCTGAATTTCCAAAGGCTTTTAAATATTCGTTTTGGTTGTATGCAATATCTTATCTATGAAAACTAGGTCAGATCTTATAGGTGAGTTTCCCCTTGCAATTAAGTAAAATAATTTCAGAAGCAGAAGAACCCTTGGGAAGCAGCATTCCAGATGCAATGGGGCCTAGCTTTGAAAAGAGTGATGCCCTTCACTGACCATCCAGCTTAATTTCAGAAAAGAGCTTGTTGATCCATTTGGATTCTCTTCATTACTGACCCCACTTACCTTATGGTTTACATTCAGTTTTTTTGCTTCCTAGGAGCTCTCCTCTTCTATCCATTGCCTTTTCAGAATTTATGGATGAGATGGGAAATAATCTCTGGGCATGATTTAATAAAGTCTATTAAACATTCTTTTCTGGTCATTTTACTCAAATGATGGTTTGACTCTTATTTTCTTGCACTTATCATGTTTCAGATTAGAGTTGGTTTCAGCTGAAGGTGTCCCAAACTACTAGCACCTTATATATGTCACCTACAATGAAGTTTGGAGATAAGCAGTCTAGAATTGGAATGGAGCTTCCTCAATTATCAAGGACCCAGGTCCTTCTAACATGTTAGCTCATCATCCTCAAAATGCGTTGGATTCTACCTCAGCACAATATAGCTACTCAAGCTACGGGAATCATATCTACATTCTAATCAGCAAAAAAGAGCAAAAAAAGGTCATACCAATTTTTCAAAGGATATTTTCTAGATGCTACACACAACACTTATGCTCACATCCTGTTGGCCAAAACTTAGTCAAATGGCTATAGAGCTAGCTGCAAGGCAAGCTGGAAATTTTTTATTTTATTTTATTTTTTTAAAATTCCACGTGGCCTTGTACCAGCTATAATTATGGGGTTTAATTACTAAAGAAGAAGGATGAAATGGATATTGGTAATGAATAGCAATCTGCTTCAGGAGTTAACAAGGACTTTGTAGCAGGCCTGAAGGGATGTAACAAAGCAGGCAGCGGTAATCTTTGAGGTTATGCTGCCATCACTTAGTAGTTTTCATTCATCAAGTCTGATCTTGACTCACAATCAAAGCTTACACTAAAATATTTCATGAACAATTTGACCTTTAGAAAATTTATATTAGTTTTATTCTCACGTAATCTGCATAAAAGCTACTTTTCTGGCCCAATTTTTTCTTGGTGAGGCATTGAAGAACTATCATGTCGATATGTAAAAAGTAATTGGAGAAGCAGTTTAAATCTTTTCTGAATTATCTTGACAAAGACCAAAGGGAATCTGTTTCTAACATACCGTAGAACTTCTTAAAATCATCTTTTCCCAATTCTCTTACAGTCTCTCACACAGCGTGTGCCCCTCATTTAACTACCCACAACTCTTCCCCCAGCCTACACATTGCTGACTCTTGTATTTCTACTCCTTTGTCCCTCACCTTCTAATCATTTCCACTAATTACTGCCTGCTCATTCCTTTGTAAAACAATCAAACCAATGTGAGTGCAACTTCTGCTCCTGACCTATTACCCCAGTTCTCCAGAAAGCAATCTGGATTAGATCATTGTTCTCAAGGTTCAAAGGTCTAAAAGGGCGTATTTATTAATTTATCCAGCCTTGGACACTCATAATAAAACATGATTTCATAACTCCTTATACGTAATTCCAAAATCTAAATAGCTTTGAAAAAAAAGTTTTCTTCTAGTTTATTTGACAACAAAACCTGACCTAACTGTGTGAGGGTATTTATAGTCTCTATATATCCCACTTAGTGTAAATATTTTTACATTTCATGGAGAAATGTTAGTAAAAGAATATTATAAGAAATATAGCACTTTTCTAAAGTCTTAATCTGAATCTGAATAAACCATTTGTAATAATCTATTTTATGCTCATGTTTAGGTAGGAATGAACAAAATTTTCCTTCACTTTTAAAAACCATTTGTTGTAAAACATTACGTATGTTAGATACTGAGAAACACGTATTCCTCAAGAAGTAGAATATGTGCGTGCTAAGAAAAATTACTCAAAGCCTAGAAATGGGCAAAAAGAGATCATTGGAGAAACTTTCCAGTGGAATCCTGAGTATTGTCTAAAAGACCTTCTCTGGGGATTATTGATTTCATATGAGTGTATAATTTTGATTGACTTTCTATTAATCAGGCTTTTTTTTAAAAACTATCCAATGAGAGTAAAGGTTAATTTGTACAAATGGATAGGAATGCAAGTGATTCTTTCCTGAGAATGATGCAAATGATTATGATGATAGCAAAGCAAATTAATTTTATCCAGCAGATTCGATTAATTTCCATCGATTGAAAAAACTGATTCCAAATATTAAAGTTTATTGCCCTCTATGATATTGCCATTTTTGCACCTATTAAAAAAGTCATTTCAGAATGTCTTTAATTGACTGACTATATAAATCTGTTTCTCAAATCCTCTGAACTACTTGTAGCATCTTAATGGTCCCCTCATTAATTAATGAGTTGAGTAAAAATCTTTGACACATACTCATTTTATATTTATGTGTCATATGATTAACTTTTTGAAAATTATACTTAAGAAGTGCTTGTACTCTAGGAGCCCATATATTAGTTGAGCAAAAATAAGATATGGAAAAACTATAAAAGCAGTATACAATAAATGATAAATTATCAGTGTGGCTTTGAGAGGCTGTGGTAGAGTTTTTGGATGACTGTGTTCTTTTCGTGTATCCTGCACTGCTTTTACTCATTTAGCAGACAGTTCTACTTTGCATTCTGGAGTGCAGAGGACAGGAACACAAACACAGACAAGGCAGATTCCCTGTCCTAGAGTTGTCTAGTGGAGGAGAAAGACATGAACAAATCATTACAAAGTAATGCTAATGGATGGGGAAAAGAACAACATTTGAGACCTTACTGTGCCCTTATACTTTATATTTATTATTTTTCTAAAACCTAAAATTTTGTAGGAATTTTACCCCAGTTTTATAATTGGAGCATGGACAAATCTAATCATTGTAATAGTCATGAACAAGAAGCTATGAGAGCCCCCAAACAATTTTACATTATTTAATTCCTGATATCAAAGCATTTTCCTCATCTCTCTCTCAGTTCATTTGGTTGACTCCTGATTCAGGCCAACTCCTGCAGGCCCACATGGGAAGCTTGGCGCAGGCCTGGCAAATGAGGACAATGTATGACTGCAGGACTTGGGAGTTCTTCTCAAGTTTGAAATCAAAGAGGACTAGCTCCTTGCTGGGAAGTTAACTGACCTTACTTGTCTCTGGAAGATGAGAGACAAGTAGGGTCAGTTAACTTCCCTGAGTTTTCAGTCTTCAGTGCTGCTTACAGCTTAGGATATCTGATATTTGAGAAAGGGGGATGAGGTAGCACCCGGAGTTAGATTTTACTTGGAAAAGCACCTAGGATTGGCATGCCTTCCTCCTCCCGCAATGCTGGAGGGAGTTGCAGAAGGTGGACTATAAACACTGGCAAATATTGACAGAAGTGAAGGTCATGGCAAGACCATTTGGCCCAAGTCTGTTGTGGAAGGATAAGCCTGCTGTTCAAAGGGATTGATCAACTAGATTTCCGTGAAAAGAACTTGGCAATTTCTGAGACTGAGTTTTAAAACTGGCAGCTCTTTTACCACTGCTTTGCATCTTTGCAAAGTCTCTCCCACCCTTCTCTGTACCAATTTCCTTAGAGCTGTCTTTATTTCCTGTTGCAGATTTTTTTTTAAACCAACAGTGTTTAGTGATTTTTTTTTTTTTTTTTTTGCATTCTTTCCAGGGAAGGAGAATCAATACAACCCCTTGCCTAAGAGAAGGTGGTTGGTCTGATCTTAATCAGTGTTAGAAGATCTATTTTGATCCAAATCAGGTGCCTGGGCTGGGTTAATTCCAGTCTGGTTCAAGCAATTGATCATCACAAGATGTTTTTTTGGTTTGTGTGCTATCTCGTGGTAGTGTGGCTGATTTCTGACTCAGATGGTATGTATGCTTAAGTTCAATTTACAAGGCAAACTATCAGTTTGTGGCTTAGGAGGCATTCTCTCTTGGGTTTTAGTGAAATTTAAATCAACGAAAGGTATTTGCTTTGTCGAAAAATCTCAAATTACTCAGCTTAATACTCTGTTCTGTGTAGGGGGCTTAGTAAATATTTAATGATGAATTCTAGTCAGTGAAGTGAGTGGCTACCTGCTTACTTTCACCTTCTACGAAACCAGTACCAGTTTCAAAATCTTGAGAGGTCTTATCTGCGATAACCTCCAGGGCTGCTGTTTGGAAGGGGGATGGTTTCTTTGTGAGTAAATAATGTATGGCTGGATTTGAGTGAAATTCCTGTTATCCTTTTGAAAACAAAACTTTGGGAATTCTTGGGGAGGGAGGGATGTGGATGGACACAAACATGGATGAGTAAAAGGAATCAGAAACAATAATCCAGCAAAAAGATAGTTGGATGGGGGAATCTAATAAGAGCTTCCTCATAGCACACAGTATGCCAAGTGAATCTTTCCTTTGTCCTTGCAGTCTTTGCAGCGAAGAGCTGTCCAGAACTTCCTTCAGTGAACAATAGCATATTTGTTGTAAAGGAGACGGAAGGACAAATTCTGGGGACTTACCTTTGTCTTACGGGCTTCCACCTGGTAGGAGAGAAAACCTTTTATTGCAATGCCTCTGAGGAGTGGAATACCCCCACTCCCAAGTGCCACTGTAAGTTTGATCTTTCTGCCTCTTTGTCCATCTTGTCATCTTCCTGCATTCTTTCGTATCCTACCTCCAGGAGGCCATGTTAAAACTTATAAAGAAACAAGTTCTCAACTTCCAGGAATCCATTTTTAAAGCACTCTAGTGGTGGAACTTCTTTTGGATGGTACATGATCAGCTCTTAGTAGATTCAGTCACCCCTACAAGAAGTAAAGAATTTCTACCATATATTGGAATGACGTTTTTTGGCTGTAATTTGTTTAATATTATACTGCTTTAAAATTTTTTTATTATGAAAAATTTTAAACTTATGCAAAAGATAACAAAATGAACTCAATGTCTTTATTACCCACCTTCAATAATTATCAACATATGACTATTCTTTTTTTTCAATCAATAATTCTGCTTTGTAGCATTGTTATTAATTTGAAGTAAATATATCATATTTTATTTCATTCATCATGTAACTTGAACTGGGATAATTTTGTGTTCTCAATTTACATGTATGATAACTGAGATCTAAGTTATATGTTCAAGTTCACAAAACTCATTTGTAGTGTCTATAGATGTGGAGAATTATTCCATATCCTCTCTATTATTACTATTTTTTAGGAATAACCAGATTAGTTCTCCTGTATACCTAGAGTAAAGCACACCAGCATGTTTATCTTTCATTCATATGACCAAATTCACATTCCTCTGCATTCTCTCCTGTTTTTCCACCTGGAAAAAAAAACAAAGTAAAAAATGATGAGTAATGTATATATTTGGCTGTATAAAAGGGAAGGAAACACTTGCCTCAAACATAGACTCAAGAATTTTTGAGTAATGCTTAACATACCAGGATAATAAACATGCTGTTGGTAATTTCCAGCTATATACGTCATTTCTTTTAGTAAGCTCATGTGCCAGTTGTCAATCTTGTGAATGATCAAGACCTTTTCTTCCACACTTAGGCCAACCCAGTCTTTTCTCATCCTGCATTGATATGGTTTGGTACCGTATAGTAGTCCCTTTTAAAAAGTGCAGTTTTAACTCTAATTTCCTGTTTTCTCAATGAAATCTGAGGAGGTCAGCCTGGCCCTTTCAGACTGCTGTCTGTTTTCTTCTTCAGTGGGCCACTGTCCTGACCCTGTACTGGTGAATGGTGAGTCCAGTTTTCAGGGGCCTGTGAATGTGAGTGACAAAATCACATTTAAGTGCAATGAGCACTACATCCTCAAGGGCAGCAATTGGAGCCAGTGCCTAGAGGACCACACCTGGGTGCCTCCCCTTCCTGTCTGCAAAAGCAGTAAGTACAAGAGAAACACAGCATTCAAATCTCAAAGATACTGATCAGTAGTGGCACCCCAGGCATTTGCCACATTCCTGCGATGCTTTCTCTTTTTTTGTATCTGGAAAGGGTTTAGGATTTAACAAGCGGCCAAGAAACAAGTGGAGCTCACAGAGAGAACCTCAATTCAGGCGATGTATTTTATGGACAGGAACAGCATTCAAACAGCACATACCATTTTTTTCTTTTCTTAAGTAGCATTCCTGTCCTACCAGGTCGAATATATAGGGAAGTTTGGGGCGTCTGACTTTTTTTTTTTTTTAACTTCAAGATAGTGACTTAAAGTTTTTATTTGAAAAATACACAAAAACAGGGGGAAAAACCATAACTCATCCATAATAAAATTATATAAAATAAAAGTTACAAGCACCTCCTTCTATCACTACAGTATAACAGCTCTCAGAGGGAGTTAGATGTGTTTATTTTATGATGTTTTCTTATGTTTATGCAGACATTTTACATAAACAAATACACCCACACATACCTACACACATTACATACCTACAAAAATGGGATTTTCCAATACATAGTTTTCATATTGCTTTTTTTCATATAACAATATACATGAGAATCTTTCACAGATCAGTATGTGTAGCTCTATCTCCTACTTTTTAATAACTGCATGTGGATTTCCATAACTTAGTCCATATATCTCATATTGATGTTTCTCTACTTTTGCTATTACAAACAATGCTGAAATGAATATTATCATATATATGTGTACACATACATATATACCTTTATGTCTATGCTATTCTATTATTTCTATAGTATAGTCTCAGAGTAATTGCTGAATTGCAGGATATCATTATTTGCAAATATACTTAAAAGATACAAGAAATTCTACCAAAAACTTAATTTTTGAATACAAAATAAATATTGAAAAATCAATAATTTTGCTTTCTAGTAATAATTATTAGGTTAATATTGAAATGTAAAAATAATTCCACTCATGAGACTTACATGAAAATTTACTGAAAGACATAAAGTAAGACTTAAATAAAAGAAAAGATATGCCATGATCATGAATGGGCATACTTAGTATTACAGTGCAATACCAACCAGAATTTTAAATTAAAAATTATGAAACAAAAAATTAATTTAAAAATCTCATTTGGAAGGGTATATATCTATATTATGAATTTATTTATCTTTTTAAAGACTTTTTTTTAAAGAGCAGTTTAAATTTACAATAAAACTGAGAAGAAGGTACAGAGATTCCCCTATACCCTCTACCCCCACACATGTGTAGCCTCTCCCATTATCACCATCACTTATCATAATCACCCAAAATCCATACTTTACATTAGGGCTCGTGCTTGGAGTTGTACATTCTAAGGATTTGGACAAATATATAACGACATGTACCCATCTTTGTAATATTGAACAGTATTTCCACTGCCCTAAAAATCCTCTATACTCTGCTTATTCATCTCTCTACTTCCCCCACCCCTCTCAACCACTGATATTTTTATTGTTTCCATCATTTTGCCTTTTTCAGACTGTCATGTAGTTGGAATCACATAGAGGGGTAGACTTTCAGATTGGATTCTCTCACTGAATAATACGCATTTAAGGTTCCTCTATGTCTTTTTGTGGCTTGACAGCATATTTCTTTTTGTCGCTGAATAATATTTCATTTCTGGATGCACCACATTTTATCCATTTATCTCTGAAAGACATCTCATTTGTTTCCAAGTTTTGGTAAATATGAATAAAGCTTCTATAGACATTGTGTGCAGGTTTTTGTGTAGATACAAGTTTTCAAATCCTTTGGGTAAATACTAAGCAATTGCTGAATCATATGGTAAGAGTATATTTAGTTTTGTAAGAAAATCTTAAAGATAGACAATTCCAAAATTAGTCCCAAAAGGCATTTATATCTCTCAAATTTATGAAAGACTATTAAACATTACTAATAATTATAGAAATGGATGTTCAAATTAGATATAACTTTTTACTAATCAGATTAGCTAAAAAAATTTATTACATTTAATATCATTCAGTATATGAGGGGCCAGCCACTTATGTCAGTGAGAGAAAGTGATATCATTCTTTAGATGTATTTTGGAAGTAGCTATTAAAGTAATAAATAGGCTGTTTAAAAGCAGAAACTATATATATCCTTATTTATATAGTTTGGGATTACTTAAAATATATACTACATGCTGTTAAATTACAAACATAAAATCATTTACATCATTAGCTTGACAGGTGTAAAGTATTTATTTTTTTCAGGCCTTCTCTATTTTACTCTCCTTTAATTCAGTAGTTCTCTTGCTAGCTGCAGAATCCAGGATCTCTGTTTTTTTGTTTTAGTTCATTGTCCGATTCTTGGGGAAGCTGCCTAGGTCTTCGAATAAAGCCGATTCTTTTCTGTTTAGATCCAGGATCAACATCATCTCCTTCTGTTCAAAATTGTACTCTTAAAAGTCACCAGAGAAACCCTGTCTAAACAGGAATTTCTTAATCAACTTCTTGAAATTCTTTTTTCCTTTCCTCTATACAGCTTTTGAACTCGGCTTTTGATATTTTAACAATTACTTATTAACTGCTCAAGTAATTAATTTCAGTTGTAGAAAATTCAGAAAATAAAAGAAGAAAACAGTTAATTACCTACAAACCTACCACCCAGGGTTAGCAGAGTACTTTGATATATAATTTTCAGACTTCACTTTTTTTATGTTTGTGTATGACTATATTTTACATAAATAGTATTATTATACATGCTCTTTAATGATTTGCTGTTTTTAGGCAATTATTTGTTTTGAAGATTTTTATGTTTCAATAAATATACACCTATGTAATTATTCTTGATTCAGCCTCTAATCTTGATCAACATGTCTAGACTCAATCTCAGAGTAAAAAAGGACGTTAGAGATAATATCATTTAACCCACTCATGGGTTAGGAAAAAAGTCAAGAGGGATGACATGGCTTCTTTAGTGCTCCATGGCTACTGGAAGAACCAGAACCCAAACTCCTAACATCTAGTACCTTGTCCATCTCTCCACAGTTTCTATAGATTCATCCCCACTGCTTGAGCTCCATTTTCTGTTTTTCTGAAGGTCTCATATTCACAACTCTGTCTCACAGGGGATGTCAACCTCCATTTGAGCTCACACCATTTATCTCCTATCTCAGAGTTACTTTACTTCTTCCACTTCTACATGTGATCAATTTTTCTTTTCTTGTACGCTGACAGTTAACATTCCTACAACTTAAGCTTCCTTTCCTGGAGCTCCTGCCAATCAAAAAATACTCTCAAATCACTAATGACTGGAGGATGAGCTGGGGGGGAGGGGGTCTTTCCCATGGACCAATATGATGTTGACCAGAAGGAAATGAATGGAGAACATATTCCAGATTCCCAATTATGATGCTATGAAGACAGCAGGTGCTGGTATAGACAGTCATAAATTTGGGGGTGCTGTTAATTGAGCATAACTGAACTTTACCACTGTCATTTCTATACTCCTGTCTCTCAGGAGACTGTGGCCCTCCTGGGTATCCAGCTCATGGCTATTTTGAAGGAAAAGATTTCAGCTCAGGATCTACCATTACTTATTATTGTGAAAAGAGGTAAGTGCATGTGGCCTTTCAAATATAAGATCTTGCTAATTGACTAGTAGCATGGTCTCAAACTGGTCCTCTGATTTCCTGCTGCTTCAGGATTCTGAGCTCATTCTAATTTTGAGAGATGCTTTAGTCCACTACCAGCTTTCCTTAATCTCTAGAAGACAGACTGATCCTATTTATCCTAATTAAAGTATCACTTTTTTTTCCTTAGTTAAGAAAAGATAAAGTATTAAAAATGTGTTTTTATAACGAAAAACTTACAGAAATACAGAACATATGGAAGTGCAGATAGAATGATTTAGAGTATAGATCTTTAAAATATCCTAATTAAAGTCTAACCTTAATTTAGGTTACCTGATCACCTACCTTATAGATCTGGCTTTTTCTTTCCCTTGCCTCAGTCTTATTAACTCAGGATCATGTGCCCTCACTAGCATTTCAATCTCATTACGTATCCCCAACAAACTCTGCAGTCAACTCCTGTGTTTTTCTGATTAAAAGCTGCAGCTCCTTTTTAGACAGTTCACTAAGATTTATTTGATGGCTGTCTCTAGCTGTCTACTCTTTTTAAAAGCACAGATAACGGATGCTTTTTAAAAAGTTACTAAATGATGAAGAGCTTCTCTTCTCACCCTCCCTACCCAAAAACTGTGTGTAAACACATATGTTCAGAATTTCTTACTTCTCCATATATTATGGGTTGGCTCATCACTTGGGTCCTCTCCACTCCTCAGAAGAGTAGTTTTACTTTATTATACTGCTTTGTAATACTGAGATAACTTAAACATACATTATGGATCAGGAGCAGGGAGATGGGTTCTATCAAAGCATGAAATACTGAAATACAAAGACATAAAATCAGCTTTAGCTGCCCAGCTCATAAGGTGGAAAGGCCAAGTACATTGCTATCTAATTTCTGTTCAGATACTGCTTAGTGGGCACACAAGAACAGCAGTGCGTGGAAGGGGAGTGGAGCAGTGCTCTTCCAGTCTGTGAATTGATCGAAGAAGCTCCCAAACCAGCTTCTGAGGGGGAAAAGGCACTTGTAAGTAGTAGACTCTTGTTCACAGTTGTATCTCTAGGGCCTGTCATTGCTCCTGCCACATGCTTAGTAAATATCTGTTCAATTTGGGATGTATTTGAATAGGTTGACCTTGGCCTGTCAGATGGGCTCATAAACTATTAACTTGCATTTTTATATATGGAGGTTCCCATTTTCCACTATCATCACAAATTCCTCATGAGGCCCTGTGGAGTTGTTGTCTCGTGTGCTTTGTAGAGCAAGATACATAAACTCATATCTTAGACTTGGGAGTTCTTCTGTGAAAAGTCTCTAAAATTCTTTTAAACTCCAAAAAACACTGAACACGTCAATTTTCTCCTCTTTAGTTTAATAATAAGTATATTTAAACATTATGTTGAAGACCCAGATCCCTACTTAAGTTAACCTGGTTCTGAACCCTCACTCAGGGATGTAAGCACTATTCATAGGCTTTAGAGAGAACTGGGTCTCAGTTCTTAAGTTGGAACTTAAATTTTTTTTCTCTCTCTTCAGCTTGCCTTTCAGGAAAATAAGGAACTTTGCAAAGCCATAGAGAACTTTATGCAAAGATTAAATGAAAATGGCTTAACGATGGAGGAACTAAAATATTCTCTGGAAATAAAGAAAGCTCAGTTGGAGGCAAAAATGTGCCCTGACATTGTAGCTGAGCAGACTGGCAAATGCACCTCTGAATAAATCTTCCTCTTGGTTAAAAAGTAAAAATTGGTTTCAGATTTTTCTCTCATTGAACTGAAAAACAACTTCATAGTAACCAACTGTGGTTACATAACACTCTGTGTTTATGTTGCACTCAAAATATGGAAAGACCAAGTGTGGTGGTTGTCTAAGACCAGAATTAGCAACACATGAATGGGGAACAAGGGGTTTAATTTCCTGTCTGTAAAGAGAACGGAAAGCTTGGATCGCAGCTTAGAATGTGCCTCATATTTTAATACGAGACAAATGAGGAGGCAAAAATTAACCTCAAATTAACCAAAATTTATGAGGTAAAAATTAACCTCTCATTTTGGGAAAATAGGCTAAGAACAGTTATATCTTAAAATGACCTATTGAGAAAAAAGTAGAATTAGGACCCAAACTCTCTCCTGGGTCTCCCCTACATCCTGTTTATGAAACCAGATTTCCAAATCTTCTTTAGTAATATCATTCTCTGCCTTTGGGATGAAAGTCTGCCCTGTGTGGTAAATTTGAGGTGGTGCAACACAAACGAATATATTCTCTTCTTTTTTTTGAGGGTAGAAGACACAAGAATCCCAAGATTTTCCTGTCAAGAAGTCATACTGAACTGATATGACAAATTTCTTCCATCTTGCACTCTGACCTCTACTTAAAACACATAGGGAATCTGGATGAAATACAAAATTCAGAGAGCTTGAAATAATTGAAAATCTCTAGGTGAAGTCACAAAGGAGAATAACAGATGGGCTCTCAAGTAACCCCCAGTCTATTAATAGATACAACACACACACAATTAATTAATTCAGGGTTATTAGAATGAAATAAACACTTTTCACAGAACAGTGTGCTGTAGGAGCTCAAATGTCACAAGGGTGATTTCTGTCTGGGAGGAGGCGGCAGGAAAATTGTCAAGGAAGAGGTCATAGTCATTTGAGCCTTTGAAAGTGAGTAAGAGTTACAGACAAAGATTATTGAGAAGACATTTCAAGTGGAAAGAAGATTTAAGAAATGTAGTAAGAGCATCATGAACTTTTTAACCAAGAAAATTTACTCCTAGGATTAATCTAACTTGAGCAAAATAATTTTTAATTTAAAACTATTATATTATTGCCTACATTGTCTACACTAGCAAGAACTTGTGAGCATTTGAAATGTCCAAACCAGAAATTTTTAAATAAACTGTGGTACATCAAATGTAATGCAGCCTTTTACAGTGATAATTTTGAACACAAAATCTTAAAAAAATAACTCAAGTAAAACTAGAATACAGAAAAATAAGTATTAATGTTTGCACTTATTAAAACCTTCATTATTGTAGAAAAGGACAAGGCAATAATAGGCACACATGAAAACAGTTGTCTTAGAATGATGAAATTACAGGTGTTTATTCTCTTAAACTTCTTTAATGTTTTAAATAGAGTGTTTAATAAGTTTTTTGAAAAGGTGCTGTGAAGAGGCAGGAAAGATGGGGCATGTTTAGGGACTAGCACATAGCTTGAATCAACTTAAATCTTTAAAGCATGGGGGCGTGATGAGAGAAAAGACTAAAAAGATATATCACTGCGAGTTTATAGAGGGTTTTTAAAGGGTATTTTAGAGAGTTTAAACTTTATTTGGTAGGCAATGAGCTGAGATGGAAGACTTTTAAGCAAGGGAGCGATGAGGACAGAATATAGAATCTTTCTCTCACAACAATAGGTGGTATAGGTGGAAGTGGGAAGAGAATTAAGAAAGAGAATCCATTAAAGGGCTACTGCAAGAATCCGCATGAGAAGCCATGATGACCTGAACTGGCTCGATGGCAGTAGAAATAGAAAAGAAAGAGCAGACATGAAAAACATTGCAAAATCCAATGAAAACAACTTGTCCACTGATAGAATGTTAGAAGGGGAGGAAGAGGAAAGGTTTAAAGATGAATCTGAAATTCCATTCCTGGGAGCTTGGATTGACGTGGGGATCAGAAGGTGAGGTTTCTGTGCAGGAAATGAGAAGTTTCCCTTTGGATGCGCTGAGGACGAGGTACTTGTAAGATGTCCAATGACCAAGAGAAAAATGTAAGTCTGCATTTATGAGAGTAATCAGAGAGAGATGTAGTTCTGGGGTAGTTCTCTTACAGAGAATATTTAGAGCCATGGTAAGATAATTAAAAATGAGAAGAAAAAAATTTTTTGAAGAAGAACCTGGGATATATCTATATTTAGGTATGAGAAGGAGGAAGAGGAGATAATGACAACTAAGAGAGAGCAATTAGTAAGATGGAGGAATCAGGAAAGTTCAGGATCATGGAAGCCAAGGGATTAGAGAGTTTCAGAAAGGAGATGATCAGCGTGTTTGAGGCTGCCAAGAAATGATAAGAAATGAGATAAAGAAATTTTGGATTTGGAGACAAAGGCATGCCTGAAAGAGGTCTGTCAGTAAGGGTGGGGAGAAGCCAGATTGGAAGGCCACAAATGGAGGGGTGTGAAGTGATTAATGAGAAAGAGTAGGCAGGAAGTGTAGGAGCCTCTTCAGAAGTCCAACAGAAGAAAATTGGAATTTGAGGTTTCAGCAAGATTAAGGGAACATTTCAGGAGGAAAGGCATTGCAAATAAGGAGAAGAACAAACAAATCTCTTCTGAAACAGGAGCGAACACTAGAGAAAACTTGAGGCAGAGAGAAGATAATGCAGAATTCTTTTAGTAAAGTAAAAGGCAAGGTCATCTACTGAGAGTAAGACAATTTGGTGACTTAGAGAGAAAAATTTGTAATAGTCACTGTGGAAAAGAAAGGACTCCAATAGATCGGGAAATGGTATTTTAAAGACCGAACTTTAAGATGATATTTTCTCTAACTCAGCTCTCACAACTTTGCACAATGTGGAATACTTTCTGCTCATTCTTGTCAAATTAGCAAATCAGTCTCACCTTTGTCCCATGTTCCTTTTACCTCTAACATTGTATTTTCATCTAATAATTTCCACTTTTCATTCAAAGCCCAGCCCAAATGTCACATCTTCTGTCAAAACTCCTGCTGTGGTTCAACTCCTTTTTTTCTGAAATCTTTATGAGACTTCTCATGTTAGTTACAGAAAAAATTAAGTTTAAGGAAGAATTGCTCTTTAATAGCAATTTCCTGAGCATACAA